CTTTCAGACATTCTATAATTCTTTTGTGGCATGTATATGCACGTTGTGAAACTCTCAAACCGCAATTAAACATAAAGTCTAGATCTGGAAACGAACGAAATAATGTATACGCGCGCGCTGATCTGAATTTTACAACATATTTTTTTAAGCGGTACCGTATCTGGAGTGGTATTTCCTGAAATATGCACAAAGCACAGACGCCAATCCGGAATTCAGGATGGAATTTATACTTCTCAATTTAAACGTGTAATATCAATAGTAATCGCAAACATAAACTCTCTTTATATTTTTCTTTTAGAGTCTGTGTTCTTTTGATCTTTTGATCGTGCTATTTTAATATCTTTTTATTTAATCTTCAGTTTGAAGCGTTATTAAATTTACGTGTCCTAATTGCATTCGACGATAAAAAACGTATCTGCTGTAAGTCAGAATAAACAAATAATTCTTTTATCTTAATATACCAATTGTTACGTTAAATAAATATATTTAGCTATCATTTATATACCTATAATAATAATTAACAACTTAGACATAAAATTACAAGTATTTTTGTAACAACGTTAACAAGAAATAAAACTCCTTTTATAGTGTATAATTCACAAAAATTACATCTTCGGGAAATGACTGCAAAGGCATGTCTCACCATAAAACCCAATTTCACGATCAGAGAACGAGCTGTTCAGCGACGTCTCAAAATAATAATAATGATAATAATAATAACATAATAAGTGGAAACGGGGGTAATGATCGTGCATAAATCGCTATTCAGCGTTGGGCGCCTCGGCGCTCGTCGACGATCGTCGCCGACTACGCGGCTCGGCGCATGCAGTTGCACCTGCCGGGAACGAGGCGCGCAAGCGCTCAGGTGCTACAAACCGCCGCACGGAGGTAAAACGACGCGCGGTCTCGAGCTTTCGTAGTCGGCATCGGCCATCCGCGACGCGAACTTTCACCCGGTCGACGGTACCGCGCGTGTCGCGGCGCGACTTACAAAGTTGTTTGTTGCGCGCGGAGGAAAGAGAGACATTTTTCACCTCTCACCTACGCAAATTCTGGCTGATATACGCGCAAAAACGTGGCGCGAATTGAAAAATGTGCAGTTGATCTTGGAATTTGAAAAGTTAATCTTCGGATCTTTGTTTTTCGGCGATCGCGCCAGTGCAATTTGCGATCAGCGAGGAAATATGGGGATTAATCCAAGCTGGTGTTTACACATATTTTCGGATTGACTTACGCGCACACGCGCGTGCAAGAACGATGTCTTCTCTTCGAGGACGGTGCCGCACGGGCGAATTGCAGCCGTGCCGCGTCGAATGCAGGCGTTGATTTTATCTATTCCAATCGCGCCCATAGGCAAACGCGTGCACGCGAATGGAAAAACTGTTTGGGAAAACAAAAGTTGCGGGCGGCCAAAAGCGTCGCTGTCTCTAATTTTAATTTCGCCGGCCGTCCTGCCCGGTTTATATAAACCGCGTTTTCGCGTTTTCGATTGCTCGATCGCGCGATGAAACCAGCCGGCCGGAAGAATTTCGATGCTGTCCCCGGAATTGCGGCGAGCCGCTCTTAACCCGGATAGGGCCGCGAAGGTAGGCTGAAATACCGCGGCAGCGCAACCAATGCGGCCTCAAATCGCCCAGCAACGCGAGTTAACGTACCCGCGCGTTTCAAAATAAACCACGGTCACGCTAAAATTTCGATATCGGTCGGAGGCACGATCGCCAATAGCACGAGTTAACAAGTGTATCGTATATTGTCGCATAATATACACAATCGTTGTCGAAAATCTCTTTGTATACCAGAGAATGATAGCAATCGTATAGCGGTGGTACCGATATCCCTGAATTGGTCCACAATGCGAATTAATACGTGCAATTCAAAATAAGTGCGGTTTTGCAAAATTTCAACCGATCGGAATCTCGATCGCGAATGGTATACGAGTTCATATATCCACATTCTCTGCTATTATATATATATACACACACACACAGTATTATATGGAATCATGTAAATTATGCTGCTTGAATTAGCTCACAATTAATGCATTCGATTTGAAATAAATGCGATTTCGCAAATTTTCAGTCAATTGAAGGCCTAAGCTGCCATGTTTATCATACCAGCATACGTGCAATGCGAATTTTTCTTTATCTAAAATTATAGAAATTCGGAATTGAGTGATCCGTGCAGCTTACTTTACTTGATCGATATAAAGTCCATTCCCCGCACAGGCTCAATTATTCGATTGATTATCGACGATCAAGGGATCTATCGCTTTTAAGATTTGCATTTATGATTAAGGAAACGTATTTAATGATCATAATAAAACGTAATAAACTTCCACCAATTTTCTTTCTGTAACTATTAAATTCTTGCATGGTCTTTTTACGGGTAGTATTCAAAGCGAAACTGATAAAATATTGGAGGAATGTTTCATGTACGAGTACATGAGGAGCACACACACACGCTTATATATACACACATCTAACCGAGATTGCTCGTTCGCGCAAAAGCATTGAAATTTATTAAGTAAGGATACAAACGAGGAAATATCCGTTCGATAAATGCGAACGCTGTGCTGAATCGAGATATGATTATCGAAGCGAAAGCTCGTCCCCTTGCGTTTCCGACAAAATTGTGGGAAACCGCACTTGAATCGAGATCTATAGAACTTATAAGACACGAGGGATGGATTGCGAAGTCGAGTTATCGTGTATATACTCAGGCAGAACGATAAGATAATAAAGAGCAAAGGACATTGCGTCCGTTGCTGATTGTGTGAATCGGTATCGGTAGAATAGATGATCGATCGATTATGGCGAAAAGGGCGAAAGCGGAAATGGAGGGCGCGCGTCACATTGGCTTCGATTTTGTATGAGAAATCGAGCGATTTTATCGAGCATATACGCCAATGCATATTGATGAAACGAGAGCGGTGGAAAGCGAGAGCTTTCAGGGGAAAAAAGAAGAAATAAGAGCAATGCACGGCGGGGCTAGAATTTCGTACTCGAAAACGTGGACCGTGTCGCGGCAGATGGTAGTTATGGATAGCGATGAGATCGAAATGACAATTGAATTGGCGACGGTGATAGCGGCAAATATTCCCACGTATTGGCGACTGGAAATCGCACGTGAAATTAGCGATCGACAAGATCGGTACGAAAAATTCACGGTGTTAGAATTTAACAGATTCGGATAAGTACCACGTTAATCTGATCGACAAAATGAAATCTTAGTATTGGACATGTTAAGCGATCTTTCAACAGGTTGTTAATAGAAAGGGACATAAAATTGCGTTACGTTAAAAAATCTCACGTGTAGAAGAGGGATTTTTTTTAACGGAAGGAAATAAACCTGCGTTCTCCTAAGCAAGAGAGGAATGATACTGATACAATGTTAATTTGATACAATATTTAAAGTTAACATTCAGTCAAGAGAGGCTAACCCAATCTTGTCCAGAGGGGAATATTTACAGTATCGATCAAATATTTCCCCCTAGGACTAAGTTCTTAACTTTCATCGCATGATGGCAAAAAGGTTCGTCTTGGGTGATAAAATCCTCTTCGTTTATTCATATCGTAATACTGCCGTCGGAAGAATTTCCTCGTGAAGGCAGAGTCGACATAGATACAATAAAAAGTACGGTGGTGTGTGAATAAGTCAGGAATGGGTAGGCACATCGCCCCTTATTCGGACGTATCCGAAGGGGAATATTCGCTGACAAATCGATTCTCATAGGCCACACACGATCGGGCCGTCCGTCGAGCGTCGTGCATGGGATTGTGTTTCGCGCGGCCCGGCCGCCTGCGCACGTGAGTACGGAGGGGAAAAAACGGGAACAAGGGGAATGCGAAGATAGTCTTGCCGAATAAATAAACCATGGCGACCCTACAATTGTGAGTTCCAGCAGACCTATCGAACTTTCAAACTTGGAATCATTTACGAATGTGGCGTGGCGTGGCGTGGCCGTTGCAGCCTCGAGATAAATCGCGTGTGAAGGTATCGTACTACCTACGCGCGAACCACGACATGAAACAATATTTCTCGCTTCGCTCGCGGCTCTCTATCGATATTGTACGCCGCATAAAACTTCGTAATCGTGTTTAGGCTTGTCGAACTTTTCGTTTCGGCGTTCCAGCTCGCTTCTACAACTCGGTACCTTCGATGATGTAGAATATAGACCATGAAGAAAAATGAATGTACATATATAGTCGGAAATCGCCATATCTACACAATTCATAAATTCGAAAAAAACAATATGCAGTAGGTCAAATCTAGTCAGTTTTAGCTTTCGGTATCAAATGCACACGTGGCACGGAAATTGTATTACTGCTAATTTCCGGCTGCCCGATGATGCTGCACCGTAAAATCAAATATGTAATATTACTTCCGTAGAGTAACTTCGAATTGAATACCCGAATGTTATGCCGAGGTAGCAAAGAAAAGCTTTCCGAGGTATGATTTCCGATGCACGTTGCACATGTGGCTCGGATCAACGAGCGATACTCGTGGGTAAACGGAATCCTCGCAAGATACATCCCAATTATAAACACAAATCACTATTTCGAAGTTAGGCATCAGGTCAGCCCCGCTTGATAAACAGCACCATCCCGTTCGATCTCCACGCTCATTAGCAGCGACCGTTGTGCAATCCATGCGTCATCTCTGTACCTATCTATCTCCTCTGCCTGCGCGACGATCGATCGGCGAAGCGATGTATACATCGTATCGGCAACTTCCTCCTAAGAGCGTTGCTCTGTCGCGCGCGCGGCTGATGCGACGTCTCGATGCCGGACGACGCCCGGGACTTGCAACGCAAACTCGCAACAAGTTGCATTTAAAATCCGCATCTACTGTCCGTAGGAGCAGTTGCGCGGCAGTTTCGTCTCTTTTCTTCTCCTCCCATTCTCCTCCGCTCGCCTAGCGCATCGCGTCCCCCCCCCCCCCCCCCGGAAACCCCGTCAAATCGCCGAGTATTCTCGACTGATTCGGGCTATTCAGACAAGAGCTCGCCCGAGATTTCCCGTCCGCTCGGCCCCAGGATTATCCCTGAAATTCGTTATGAATTCATTCAGGGGTATACTACGCCGCACGGATTGAGCTGCGTTTGGTACTGCCACGGCGGTCTTCTGTCTTGACAGCTGGTAATTATTAATGAGATTAACTCGCTCATTTCGAGTGGAATGTATAGGTGGAGGGAAACGCAGGATTGCTCGGTCGTCTCTATTTTTGGGTGTCGCGGCGCCGTTCTGCTTTATTCATGCGCCTCAATAATTTTTATGCTCGCTCATTAATTCGGCTCCATCTTTACGGTGGTCGTTGAAAAGCACGCCGTTTTCCTCGCAAATGCGAATTAAAAGGCGTTGCACTTTGACTTACGACTCCTCGCGACAGGGAAATCCAGTTAAGCAGCGGGCCACGTGGAATTACCGGAATTTCTCGACCGAAAGCTTCAAAGATGAAGAGCACTCGACTTGCTACGGAACGAACGCTTTTAGCACCTTACTTTGGTAAAGTAAAGAGAGAGGATAGAAAGAGAAAGAAAACTTTCAGTCGTGAAAAATTTTTAACTGGCGGGGTAAAAGGAAGAATGTCGCGGGAGGTCAGTTCCCACAAGAATGCGCCAGGATGGAGGCGCCGGATGTCAATCCGCGGATATTGGGTTAGATTCTTTCAGATGCCTCGTTTTCTCTCAACTGACAACCAATCGAAATATCCTTCGGTATAAAGTGAGTAAGCGCCGCGACCGGGTAAATATAAGTCGCGAGTAAATATATGCGGGATAAGGGGGTCGCGCCCCTTAACTGCGTATACGTTTCTTCCCTGGGTCAGACGCATAGTGAAAACACAATAACCCGCGGCAATCATTAAATTTAATTGACAGTGGAATAACGAAGAAGCTCGCCGCTAATTAAGACCTGGCGCGATGGGCATTCTCGCGCGTGCCTGGCGAGTTCGCCTCTTTTCCGCTTTTTTTTTCTCTTTTTCGCTATCAATTCTGCAATTGTCTCTAACGCTATGGATGTGCCATGCACAATTCTTTTTCGCTTGAACTAACCGTGCCGTGAACGCGCCTCCGAACCAACTAACGCGTGGCTGGTGATTAAATTCAAATAGGGTAGTTGGCAGTTTCGTATAAATGGGACAACACGGTGATTATCCAAATAAGCTTTATTATCTATGGAAGTAGGATTAAATTGTAATTATTAGATTAGAAAATAATGAGAGTGTAATTAATAACTGTCAGAAAATTAAGAGCGATGATCATTAGCTTTTTACTACAATAATTATCCCGTTGATCCATTTATTGAAAATGCTCAATTAAGCTCTCGATAGATACTATAATCAATTTCGTGAAATTTGAAGTAATCGACATGAGAGATTGCGCTTTAAATTTTTAACCAAAAACCAGATCGATTTTGAACATCCACGAGATTAATGGATTCAAATTGTATCAAATTAATCTTTTTGACGTGAACTGATGGGAGGTGTTCATTGGCGTACGTTTCCCATCTACGCTGCGTGTGGACAAACGCTTCGTTTTTTTTTTTTTTTTTCATTGCTATTACGCGACATTTCTGTGACGTCAGGAAGAAGAGAATTGTTGGCGAGATCGCCGCCAGTCGTCGAGGAAACTGGGTGAAAATTACGAATCGTGGACCGGAGGGTGCGCGAGCGCCGCCGAGCGATGGATTTTATGTTGCTGCTCCTCGTGATGCTGCTGAGACAAGAGGGTGAGTGCTTTCACTTACGCGAGCTGCTGCGCTTTCGAGCGCACGAACGCACATCGGTCTCATCCCGCAAACGCGTGCTTGTCCCTTCGCTACATCCACTTTAAAGGATAAACATCCTCTTTCCACCACCCTCCTCTCTCTCTATCTTTCAGCGATGACTTCCTTTTTTTACTCGCCCCTAAGGATGCTAACTACTGCGCTGTATTTTAAGCACGTGCTTCGAGAAAGCCACAAAGACTGTGAAAAGCCATTCGCGAGAATCGGTCTCGCTCGTGAAAATCCTTTAAGCGTTAAAATTGTGATGAAAATCTGATTGCGTTACATATTATATGTACCTTTTAAACTGTCGCGTAACGAGTATGACAAATCGAAACATTTGTCGGCTGAATTATGCATTATAAATATGCGTACATTTCTGTCCATTACGGAAACAAGTGCATATACGGAAACGAAACGTAGACATGGCATTGTTCTCTAACCTGTTAATATAGATATACACTATATTTATAAAAACTTAAATTGATTCTCTCTCTGATATTACATTATTCAATTATATTATTTATAAATTTAATGATTATAATTAAGATTCAATACGCGGTAATTTTTGTACCTATCTTTGTGCTCCATATAGTAACATTTTTCCTTCATATATTTTATACTACTACAGTAATACATATAAAGTTTTACATTTAACCAATTGGATTTTTTACCTCGTCGATAAAATATAAAAGTTATTATCTTAATTATTATCTTGATTAGACGAATTATATTATAATTTTTAGTGAAAGAAAATAAAATAACGCTATTTATAAGAATTATTAAAAATTAGTAAAATTCTCATCAGTTCAGAGTTCGAGAAATAATTAAATAAACGTGAGTAAACACAGTGTGAAACGCAGCTGCGCCATAATTTATAATTACGTGAAATAATCTGACTTATTGTTAGATGGGAATTGCAATCGGAAAGGATAGTTTTCACCGAGTGGCATGGTTATCATATCGCAAATAAAACATAACTGTTGAAATTATAACTTAATAATAGCGTGCTTGATACCAATCAATTTTATCGTAAATCAGACAAATTACCGGGACCGAAACATACGGCATTTCCAAGCGATATCAAAAGCGACGTTCGCAAACTGATACCATGACATTTCACGTACGAATTACACAAACTCGGGCTTGATATAGAACACCAATCAAGCTTGTAGACGATAGTTTCGCTTTCCTCACGATCCGTCTTTAACAGTCGGGTTCAAGATCGTCGTCATTAGTTAGCCCCCTCTGGCTAAGGTATATATAGTTCAATGGGTCTATCACGAAGAGCATAACAGCCGAAGATGCGTACGTTGCAGACGATGTATAGCTCATAGTGGTTCTCAAATTTTAATATCTCGACTCCGCCGCCGCCGCGAGATACATAAATTTATTTAAAGCTTTCACGACGGCGCATAATTTGGTGCGCGATAAAGCGCAAGTTTTATGACGCGTCTCGGGATAATGCGCTTTAAAAACAAACGCGTAATAAGAATACGCATAACTTGCATAATTCACTGCGGAAACGGCGTCTGACGGTTGTTTCCTAACAGTTCAGACACATGGTATAGAACGTGGTATAGAATCACATATGCGCATATCTTTCTCTTGTTTAGATACATAAATATCGCGATACACTAAATCACAAAAAGTTATATTTCATCTGCGTGAATTATTGAATTATGATCCAAAGCGAACAGAAAGAAAATAAACCAGCTTACAAAATTTACTAGAAAGCATAATTAAAAATTTAACAAAAGATGTTTCACGCTGTGTTAAACGCTGTAAGATACATCTTGTATTAATGCTCCTTGTTATCAAGAATTAAATAATATGATGTCTTCTGGGTTTTTCGAAAAGCTTTTCTCTTTCCTTTTTGTTTACGAGAACTTGCTAGAGAATTCAAGTTGGTAGTAGGTTGCAAATAGCACTTTGAGAATCACTGAGACGTACATATAGTGTAGTTACCTACAAGCTAAACCCATCCCTACGCTAAAGTTTCCTCTACCGTTCTATACCCAAGTATTTGATAGCTCTTGTAATTTCCAAATGGCCGTTCCCCATCTCGTTTGTGCGGTTCTTTTTTTTTCGATGATCTGTTCTTCCTTTCTCTGCAGTTTAGCCCCCAATCTGAGTACGTAGCCTAACGAGGATGAAAGGTTGAGCTCGTTTTAAGAGCAAAGAACGTAAGGAACGGTTAAAAAATGACGCTATTTCTAATTACATTCCGCCCGTTCCTTCCCGGTTATCATAATTTCAACGAGGGTGCACGCAACGCAAAAAAAATAGAAGTCAAATGAGGGTGAATTAGAAACTCGAGAAGAGAAAGAGGAAGAAAGAGAAAGAGAGTCGAGGGTGCGCGTTGAGTAAGAGAGCAGAGTGCAGGATGGCTGGGATTTATTACGTTCCGGTAGGCGGCTAGGCGGCCGAGGGAGAAGCGGCGAAGAAGCGAGCGTTACACCGTGGCGAAATAAAAGTCTCACGTTAAGGCAAGGCAAATGGTGTAAAAGTCAAAATTAAATGGGCAGAGACGAAACGAGTTTGGGAGCGGTTAAAAGGTTACGATCGCCGAGATATTAAGTAACTGCGAATATGGAGATGCTTTCTATATCAACTGCCGGCGAATATCTACGGAGATCACCTGAGATTTTGCCTCCGTCACGTCGACACGTGAAATAACAGTTTGCGGTTATGAAATTTCGCGACAGTAAAGTTTGACATACACGTCTCGCGAGTGAAGAATCGAATGGAACGCAGACTTCAGTAAAACGAATAGCAAGAATGATATAATAAAATAAACATGGGAACCAGCGAATGTTTGTCTACTGAAATTACTTTTACACAATAAATGCAGATAAGTCAATTGATAACTAAGAAATTATGACAATTAATTGCGAATAATGTTTTTTGTTTATTTTGATTTTATTAACAATTTCTGTGATCAATCGCGAGAGCTGTATAGAGAGCTCAAATGGAGATGCAAAGGAATACGAGAACGCAGAAACGAGCTGATAAAATAATGAAGAAACTGCTACGTTCTTTCTCGGGAATCGTACGGATAGCTTTTTTTTTTATCGGTTGTATCCTCGGCAGGAAATGAAAAGCGTTTTGACCAAAGAGAGAAAAGTGCATCGCCCCATACATATCAATATGGAGAGCGTATGTACCAAGATGTACCTGATATAAAATTTTAAATCCGTGAACTTGAAGTCTATACACATATACAAAGCGAGTATTCGCGTCGACTCGGTTAGCATAAATAAATAAAAGATGCATCGAACACTTCGGCGTTGCAAGTTTTTCTTTCTCAGATAAGTCATCCGCGAAGATCGCAAATTGATGGCATAATTAGACAATAAAAAACAGAAATATCGAAACGTTTGTTGGCTCTAATAATTTTTAAAAATAATTGGCAACAATAATAAGTATATTTTATACTTATTTCCAATCTATTGAAAAATCTTTAACTTTTTATGCTCAAAAGATGATATTCGATAGAAAAATGATATCCAGAAGTGACAAAGTTTGCTGAATTAATAAAATTTTACATCTACAAATGAAAGAAAGGTTATCCAGAACAGGGTCTTTCCCGAATTTTTATTTTTTTTGCGGCTCTATAGGTAAAAATGTTTGTTGTGACTCCGACAGTGATTCCCTATTCTGGATAATTACTGAAAAAAAAAAGAAGAAAGTCTCGCCACAGTTTGATCAATTTGTGATATCTCAGATTGCTTAAATTCCCACGACAGATTTCTTTTTGCTTTTTTATTCGCAGATGTAAACTTCTATTAATTTAGAAAACTTCGTCACTTTTTTTAAGTATAAAAAGCTAAAGACATTTTTTATCAATCTGTCTGCTATGGAAAAATTCTATTACCTATAATATTAGTTAAATTTTTTATCTAATAAATATCTTATTATACCTTTTCGTTTTTATTTTACCGACATAATTTTTATAAATTGTTCTACGAATTCATATTTTCTGTTACGATACTTATTACCATAATAAGTACCTTGCTTTGACGTTAATCCTTCAAATTGTTAATTGAAGGAAATGATTAGTAGGCAATTAATGCGCGCACGTTAACAACCCTGTCTGCTATTTGAGTATCAAGAGATACATCGAAGAGAGGTTGGTAATTAAATTTCCTATGGGCAATTTGTTTCGTCTTGTTTGCTTAGTCTCAAGGCTTTTGGACATACGACACCGCGTGTGTGTACAAACACGTGGATCAGTGCACAAAGTTCTCCGATTTACGGTCCGGAAACGACGAGCAAGTCATTTAACGGCGCGAGTTCTACCATATGTATCATGAAACTGAGATTATCGAGTATTTGTTTGTGCAATGATAGCGAGAATATCAATACATCTCATTCATACATAATTACGTATAGTCGCGTATACGAACGTTTAATAGGAATCAAGAGCTAGTGTTTATTTCTCCGAGTATGTGATATCTTGGAAATTAGAACACGTTGTCGTGTGTGTGTGTCATTATCGTAAAATTATGAAAATTATAAAAATAGCTACGGCACCGGAAATCAGTTCTATGTCAACAGGTGTGCGCAGTTATACGTGTAACAGACCGCGAATTAAGCGATCGCTCGAAACGATACACCGCACACGTTATAAAGTGCCCGTGTCGACAAGTCTGGTAAAACGAAAAATCGAAGGCCGAAAAATTGTCGCCCGATTGGAAGGAGAAGAAAATACAGCGACGCGCCCCAGGGCATTCCGGCATTCCGCCGACAATACCGTATGCATTTTCGCGCCCCGATGTAATAAAGCTGATGCAGAAATGCGCGAAACTTAATTTCCCGTCCCTCGGCGTGGAGGCTGCTGGAATTTGAATTTTTCTGCGTGGTCTCGTATTCATGTCTAGTGAGAAACGGTTCGGTTTTTCAGAGAGAGAGAGAGAGCACACGGGCGTATAAAAATGTCGCAGAGCGTAAAAAGTGCAAGC